GGAGGGAGGAGAGAGTGGGAGGTAGGAGGGAGAGGGAAGGAGGGAGAGGGAGGGGAGAAGAGAAGAGAAGGAGAGGGAGGGAGGAGAGGGAGGGAGGGGGAAGAGGAGGAGAGGGAGGGAGGAAAGAGGAGGAGGAGGAGGAGGAGAGGGAGGAGGAGGTTGCAACCTTACTTCAGCGGCACCCGTGCCATGAATTGATCCGAGTTGTGTGTCTTCTCCTTGCAAGGTCTCAGACCTACAATGCCCTTGAAATCAACCTCTTGTTGACTGTTGAACAGGGAAAAACAATTGAATGGATTGTCATTGAGTCCAACGCTTTCACAGGTAAGCTGGTGGGAGGAAGGATTGCATGATGTGACTTGGCTCTTGCTACCTCTGGAATGTCATCCTAGCATTGGGACCATCAGTGATCAACCTGACACCTCTGGTTGAAAGTCCCTTTCCTCCTGCTTCTCTGCCTGCCTCGTTGTGGCATTCCAGGATAGACTGTCCCTGAACATGGAGGTTCCCATCAGCTCTCTCACCTGTAGCCACCGATAAAGCTAAGTTTAGTCCTTTTTAAGGGATGCTAAAGCACCTTTTCCTCTACTGCATGGGGACTAAAGCTTCTAGTAGACCAGGGGTAGGCAACCTTGGCTCCTTTATGACTCGTGGACTTCAACTCCCAGAATTCCTGAGCCAGCATGGCTCAGCTTGGAAACCTCTCCCTTTCCCCTCAGCATGGCTGGCTCAGGAATTCTGGGAGTTGAAGTCCACGAGTCACAAAAGAGCCAAGGTTGCCTACCCCTGCCCTAGACCTAAGATTTGTTATGGTTAACTTAAAACTACGCTCCCTCCTAATTATTTGGCAACTGAAAACGAAGTGAGAATGGCTTCAGCTCAATTCGTTGCAGCGTTGACATGCTCCTTTGCTCAGCTTTTCTGATTGCCTGGCTTTCATAGCCAGATGTTACATTGGGCAACATCGGGGGCAGGGGAGCTTAACAATACACCCCTTGTTGGGGGTGTGTGTGATATAATCTGCATTTTAATCGTTCGTCGAGATTTTTCAAAAGTCTTTCTCCTAACCAGTAGATACTTTAAAAAAAAAATTGTTTTAGCATTGCCGGCACCATCTCTGTGGATTTTTTGAGCCTAAGAAGATAAAACCTATTCCTGCTTCTACTTTTTCCTCCGCTTCTTTGCGCTGGGGTTTTGTTATCTGCGGCGTAATTGTAATTTTTAATATTGAGGCGCCCGATGGACTATTGTATTGTCTCTCCGTCTTTGTTTAAGTCCTCCTCTCTTCCTGTTCTCAGCAGCGTGTTTGAGGGGGGCTGACGTTTCACGCGGCCCTTTTCGTTTCCTTCCCCCCCTACTCTAGCGTGTGTCTCATCTATTTTAGAAATCAGTCAATTAAATCGCCTTTAGATTTTATTATGTAGAAATTAAATAAATAAAGCGGCAGATGTAGCCGTGGGACCCTTTTCCCCCAATTTTGAATCCATTAGTTGCGCCTTATTCTCTTCTAACTATGGCTTCCTGGCCTCCGACAAATCCTTCCACAGGGAAAAACAGTAAAAATAACTCGGTAAACGTTATCCACAATTTGATCTACAGAATCAAAAGCCTCTAAATGCAGGGAGTCCACGACTTACAAGCCCTTTGTTTAGTGACCGTTCGTTAAGTGACTGTTTCCCCAAAAGCAAGGCCTACACCAGGGGGTCTTCAAACTTGGCCCTTTTATGACTTGTGGACTTCAACTCCCAGAATTCCTCAGCCAGGCACGCTGGCTAAGGAATTCTGGGAGTTGAAGTCTGCAAGCCATGAAGGGGCCATAGTTCCCCCACGCTGGCTGAGGAATTCTGGGAGTTGAAGTCTGCAAGTCATGAAGGGGCCAAGTTTGAAGACCCCTGGCCTACACCAACAATAAGCCCTAGCTTGATTTTTGGGGGTGGGCCTGATATAAGTCCTATCGCAAAAATAAGCCCTAGTTTTGGAGCGAGGCGCACTCCTAAAAATCAAGCTAGGGCGGGGGTGGGGAGGTGGAGCTGCCCCACTTGCAGCCAGGCCTCTCCTTGCAGGCCCACTTCTGAGGCCTCTTCTGCAGCCAGGCCTGCATTTCTCAGTCACAGACCTTTCCGGAAGGCCTCTGCAGCCGAGAACTGAGCTATGGATTCAATCCATAGCTCGGTTCTGCAAGAGCTCAACAGCCGAGCACCAAGTTATGGATTCAATCCATAGCTCGGTACTCGGCTGCGTAGGCCTTCTGGAAAGGCCTGACTGCAAAATGCAGGCCCAAATGCAGCTGCAGAACTTTGGCCCCAGAAGAAGTGGACCGGCTGAGTGAGGCTGTTGATGCTGGAGGTGAGGTAAGGCCTACCCCGAAAATAAGACCTGATGCCTCTTTTGGAGGCAAAAAAAAAAAGACCCGGTCTTGTTTTTGGGAAAACACGGTACAACAGCACCGAAAAAGTGACATATGACCATTTTTCACACTTACGACTGTTGCAACATCCCCACGGGATCAAAATTCAGATATTCGGCAACGGGTGTGTATTTATGACGGTTGCAGTGTCCTGGGTTCACGTGATCACCTTTTGTAACTTTCTGAGCCGGCTTCCGACAAGCAAAGTCAATGGGAAAAGCTAGATTCGCTTACTTGATTAGCGACGAAAATGTTTGGTTCAGTTGGGTTATAACAGACTAAGAGGATAGGAGAATAATAGGAGAATTGGAAGGGACCTTGGAGGTTTTCTAGTCTAACCCCCTACTCAAGCTTGGAACCCTATAACATTTCAGACATATGGTTGTCCAATCTCTTCTAAAAACCTCCAGTGATGGAGCACCCACTATTTCTGGTGGCAAGTTGTTCCATCGATTAATTGTTCTCACTGTCAGGAAGTTTCTCCTTAGTTCCAGGTTGCTTCTCTCCTTGATGAGTTTCCATCCGTTGCTTCTTGTCCTGCCTTCAGGGGCTTTGGAGAATAGCTTGATTTCCCTTGTCTTCTCCTAAGGCTGACGGTGACGTTGATGCTGGTTTCTCCAGGGACCCCCCCTCCCCAAATTTTCTGAGCCCCCTGCAGAGACTTGCGGGTCTCCGTCATGTTTTAATATAACGTATCCAAAACACAAGTTGGGGTCTTCTGGCAGCGAGAGCTTCCCATCACAAGCCAGTCATTTTGCCTCGTTAAAAAGCTGTCGCTCTGGCAGATGACATGAGCTGGGAGACAAATATCAGCTTAATAATACGTTACGCCTGGCCTGGCACAACAGCTGAGAGGAGGGAAGAAAAGAGAGGTGTGTTTCTTTTGTCTCAAAGACACCTGGAGATCTTGGCGACCAAGAAAGGAGAATATTGGTAGCTGAGGGTTGAAATGAGGGGCCCTTGGGGGGTCTCTGGGCTGGGTGGTTTTCTTGCAGACGTTTCATGAGCCAAATTAGGTAACCTCATCGGTGCTAGAAGGAGTGGGGTTTGAGGAGAGGAGGAGGAGGAGGAGGAGGAGGAGGAGGCCAGTGGGTCCTTGGTGCTGGCTGAGTTTGGTTGTTTTCTTGTAGATGTTTCATTACCCAAACTAGGTAACCTCATCAGTGCTAAAAGGGAGTGGGGTTGGAGGAGGAGGAGGAGGAGGAGGAGGAGGAGGAGGAGGAGGGTGACGCCAGTGGGGTCCTTGGCTGAGCTTGCAGGCATTTCATTACCCAAATAGGTAATATTATCAGTGCTAGGAGGGAGTGGGGTTTGCTGGGAGGAGGAGGAGGAGGACGATGACTTTGGGATCCTTGTGCTCTCTGAGCTTGGTTGTTTTCTTGCAGACGTTTCATGACCCAACTAGGTAACATCATCAGTGTTTAGAAGAGAGTGGGGTTTGGAGGAGGAGGAGGACTTTGGGATCCTTGTGCTCTCTGAGCTTGGTTGTTTTCTTGCAGACGTTTCATGACCCAACTAGGACGTAACATCATCAGTGTTAGAAGGGAGTGGGGTTTGGAGGAGGAGGAGGAGGAGGAGGAGGAAGAGGAGGAGAGGGGGGTCCTTGACGCTGTCTGCGCTGGGTTGTTTTCTTGCAGATGTTTCATCACCCAAACTAGGCAACATCATCAGTGTTAGAATCCTAGCACTGATGACGTTATCTAGTTTCAGTAATGAAAGATCTGCAAGAAAACCACCCAGCTCAGACAGCACCAAGACCTCCTCAGATTTTGGAGACTCTGCAGCTTCCATGTTGCATCTCAGCCCAGCCTTTAGCTGAAATCTCCTTGCAGAACCCATGTTTGGATTCTTTCTTCCTGCTTAGGGACCCTTCATTCAGACACCAAGCACTCCGAGCAGTCTTCTGCTTCGGCCATTCTTAGAAACATAGAACAAAGAATTATAGGGCTGGAAGGGACCTTGGAGGTCATCCAGTCCAACCCCCTGCTCAGGCAGGAGACCCTATACCATTTCAGACAAATGGTTATCCAGTCTCTTCTTAAAAACCTCCAGGGATGGAGCACCCACAACCTCTGGAGCAGGGGTCTTCAAACTTGGCCCTTTTATTACTTGTGGACTTCAACTCCCAGAATTCCTCAGCCAGCCTCCATTTTGTATGTTAGATTTAAGACAGGGGTCTTCAAACTGGGCCCTTTTATGACTTGTGGACTTCAACTCCCAGAATTCCTCAGCCAGCCTCCATTTTGTTTGTTAGATTTAAGACAGGGGTCTTCAAACTGGGCCCTTTTATGACTTGTGGACTTCAACTCCCAGAATTCCTCAGCCAGCCTCCATTTTGTTTGTTAGATTTAAGACAGGGGTCTTCAAACTGGGCCCTTTTATGACTTGTGGACTTCAACTCCCAGAATTCCTCAGCCACAAGTCATAAAAGGGCCCAGTTTGAACACCCCTGCTCTGGAGGCAGGTTGTTCCACTGGTTAATTGTTCTTGCTGTCATGAAATTTCTCCTTAGTTCTAGGTTAGATCTCTCTTTATTGATCTTCCACCATCTTCCTTCTTTTATTGCCTTGGGACGCTTTACCCCAAACTGGAAATAAATGCCACTTTATTTGGGCAAAATAAATGTCGTGTGACCATGGGGCACTGCAGAAGCCCATAAATGCTGGTCTGTTGGCACACACCTAAAATGTGGGCACGTGACCTAGGGGTGTGGCGGGGGCGGCTGCCGAACCTCTAAACTGGTTCGTATATTTTGAGTAATCCATCATAACTTTGTTTGCTAAGTGACAGGACCTAATTTGAGGAGTATCTGAAATCCTACTGCAGTTAACATATATATAAAAATATGGCTTTTCCCTGTTTAACCCCTTTCCAACTTTTTCCCGCTAGAGGTAGTTCTTGACATAGAACCATTCGTTTAGTGACTGTTTGAAGTTACAATGGCACTCAAAAAAGTTATGTATGCATGTTTTTCACACTTGTGACCACTGCAGCATCTCCGTCATCATAGCTATCCCATAATGGCCCAGGATACAAGAGAATCTTGGACAGGGTGGAATGGGATAACATGTCATGGGATAACTCACTGTGGGACAATGCAACAATTCCATTCAACTATTTGAAATAATGAAAACATTATTTTAATTTTCATCATTCACATTTCATTTTGACCCTCTTCTGGGATCCTTTCTTTAATTGTTCTATTCCACCATTTTTTGGATATTAGTGTTAACACTTGTCCTGCAGTGAGTTGGCCATAGTGAGTTGGCTATAGTGAG